CCAACGGATTGCCATGCTCAAACCCCACGATGATCTGTGCGCCCATTTCGGCTTTCGGCACCAGACCTGGAGCCAATTTCGAGGACTGCAGGCTGCGTAGCGGATGCGAATAAATACGACCGCCAATCCTTCGCCTCCCTTCCAGGACAACCACGCGTGGAGACGAGTCGGCATCATGGTAATGGCGAAATAGTCCCTCCAATTGTCGCGCACAGCTCAAGCCTGCCACACCTGCTCCAATAACCACAATTACCGGGCCATCCCTCTGACGACCCTTTCTGGGGTTTACCAGGGCGGCGGGAATCTCCACACAGCCGAAATTGATATATCCATTCCTGATGAGCCATTCATAAGCGAATGAGGCAAGATTCACCCAGCGATAGTCTTTCGTACATCCTAGTGCTTCCTCTTTGGAAACGCTCACCATCGGGTTTCGTGTCCACAAGCGTAAAATCCCATTTCGAATGTTCAGATACACAGTGACTTGAAGATGACACAGATGGTCCTGAAGCGCATCCTGCTCCTTCTTGTGTAGGGCGTAAGGATTGAGTCGAGAGGCATACGCTGCTTCAACGCACTGCTGAGCATATACTGCCGCAGGCATCCTCGGCGGAATCGACAATCGCGGGCGATACTTTATGGGAATCGGGATGCGATGCGGACGGTCCTTGGGTTCGGTTGAAATCGAAGCAGAATCCGAGGATAGAGCGCCGGTCAGTGTTGTGGACGGCGAGTCAGACGTTGATTGGCTAGCACCGGATGAGAGGCTTGAAGAGTATGAGCCATTTGTTGATCCATTGAGATGATCGCGCGGTACAGTCGTACCCTTGGATGCATGTAGTGTGGTTGCAGTGCTGGCAGTGGGAGTAGTAGCAGTAGTCGCAAATTGTCCGTTCGACCTCTGCGAAGGACTCGTGCTTTCCAAAACAGGAGGCTGCATTGCACTGCTATTCAAGGTCGGTGCCGCGGTCGAGGCCAAGGCACCATTCGCATTTACAAGCCCAGTGGCATACACTTTGGTAGGCTGGATCATTGCAGGAAGCCGTGCCGGCTGACTGCTTTCAGGAAAGACTTGCCGAGCCGAAAACATGGACAATTGTCCCCCGCTACTGGCCATAGTCCCGAGGCTCGTAGGCAAATATGGATTCAACGGGCTAGTATAGGAGACGCGCCCATTAGGGCCCTGGGGCCCCAGAGAGGCAGCGGTTTTCATACTAGCTGTATGTTCCTCTATCGAACCATGCTAGGTTTGACTATGAGAAATCCCTGACTTCGGGAAGCGAACGGCTTGGCTTGAGAATGTATAAGGTTTCCCTTCGAAGGCGAGTTAGAAAGTCACACCAGTAATTGACACACGATGCCAGAGGCCGGAGCTATTATACACAAGAGAGTAGTTGACTTACCCCTGGTCGACACCATTTATATCAGGCTGAGAGGGGATTCGATTGGAAGATCCTTATCAGCCAAGCCCATGATGCCCCAGTTCCCCCGCTGATGCAAGCATTGAAGAGGCAAAATCAGTGGTATACCAACCTTGGAAGATCGCATTTGTAAGCCACAGCAAGACCCTCTCTTTTTCTGCCTCTCTCGCCCATGAGAGGGGGGACCGAATCAAGGGGGAAAGTGAGGGTATTTGCGGAGAGCGGAAAATGAAGAGGAAGCGGCGATAAACTGAACGACAGATGGAGATGCATTTCTGGATCGGCGGCATGTTCGCCCGGATCCCCGCCAGTCCGTTCCCGATTCTCCCCCTACGCAGGCCATACACACATACATACATAACTATGATAGATATGATTTATATCTACATGAGTGCTAAACCATGCAATTATTAGGCCAATGTCAATTTGGTTTTACTCAACAGATGAATTACAAGAGGGGCCGAAAGCCGCCTGGGATTCTTCGCAGTAGGACCAGTTCCCAAACCAGGAGAACAGGATTCGTGAAGCGTAATAGTCATCACTCTCTCTTTATAGGATACAAGGCATCGCTCGTAGGAGAAAACTCTAATCAAGAACAAGGGTCTGATGTATATGAAGTGTGGTCTTTGTCGGGATCCGGCGGTCCTAGAAGCTTCAGTCTCGGCGCACATGGGTATGCAAGGTATAAGTCTCCTCATGCGCACCGTCTTCATCCCGGAAGGCATCCGAATCATTGTCGGTGAACTCGTCCCGATAGCGCGCCGACTTGCCGTGGCCGCTCAAGTTCTCGCTCCCACTCTCGTCATCGATGGCCAATTCCACGTGATCATCATCCAAGTCCGTGAACCCGATCTGTTCCTCCTCATCGCGGGCAAGAGTTCGGGCGGCCCTATCGACATCCGGGTCCTCCGAAAAGGCCTGATGTGAGCGATGAGCGGCGTGGTCCGCCTGCAAAGTCCGTCGAATATCCTCACGTTCTTTGGCCTCCAATTCCTTAGCTCGAGCCAGAGTCCTAGCATGTCACATTAGCGGGGACGCGGCGGTAAGTTTGATCGCATACAGTACCTTTTGTATATATACAGTCCGGTAAAGACTCCAATAGCAATTGTAAAAATTATACTGCAAATGTTGACCGCCTTCGAGCCAGCGCTCATCTTTTCATTGTTTTCTGAAAGAATACGAAGCCTGCTGCCGATAAAGGCGGGGACGAGTAGCTTCGGGGAGACAATTGCAGTGGCGAGTCCATACATCAATGGATGAACGGTCGGAAAGGTCGATACGGCTCCATTACATACTGAGTAGGGGAGTGGGCATAGGCGGATCATGCACAGCAGCTTCAACCCATCGTACTTTAAGGTCAACGAGAGGGCTGCAAAACGTTTGTCGCGCTCAATCAACCGATGCACAAACTTAGACAGAACTGTGCGAGAGACGATGAATGAAACCGTCGAGCCGAGCACGGTTGCAGAGGCGTAGAGGAGCCACCTAGTGGAGATGTCAGACTCATGAAGCATCGTAGACGAATGATGCCCAACTCACCCTTTCCATACGCCAAAAAGATAGCCGGAGACTGTTCCGAATGTTGACCATCCTACCAAGGGAGGAAAAGAAACGAAAAAGACACATAGCCAAAGGATGAAGAAGGCCAAACGGGACTTCTCCCACTGTGCTGCCACGGGCCGGATCCAAATGAACACCTTTCCGGTAAAGAACAGGAATGCCAGTCCCAGCATGTTAGCCAAGATAAAAGCACCTACTGCGCCGACTCGTTGCCAGAAAGTCATCTTCCGCCATGCTGTTCTTATCCGCCGCGACATTTGGGTTGCTCGGTCGATGGCCTGCTCACGGAAGGTTGTTGGTTTTCGGCCAGCGGTGCCTGGTGCATTTCGCTGGGCGGAAGCTCGTTGACTCCATGGCGGGAAGATGTCTTCGTCCGATGGAGAAAAAGCTTCTGGCGACGTCGGGGAGACAGCGAGAGCCCGCGCTGTGGATGTATAATCCGCAGGCATTTTTTGAGATATGGGCGATGTGAGCGAGTCGGGGGAGAATTGGAGTATGGAGACCGATTAGCTACCCCGAGTGAAGGCCACAGGATCGACAGCCGAAAGTGGAGCGGGAGCCTGAAAAGGGAGAATGACGAAACGGGCGCAATCCGAGGGAATTTGATATCGTCTCAGGGAACTATTTTTCTTCTTGATGTTGGTGACAGCACGTGTTGTGCCCAATGGAATTCCCAATACCCCAATTCCCAATTGCTTCTCGAAAGGAGGGCGTTTTCAAGCCCTCGAGTAGAAATCGGACATGGGCGGGGATAAGCGGAAGTGTTTGTCCACGGGTGATGCGATGATGAGGTGTGCAAGCGCAGTCGGACGGAATGAAGAAGCAGCAACAGGGTCAAAGGAGAATTCACGGTAAAAAGAGAGGAAGGGGCTGCCCAGTACTGCAGAGTCTCTACTTAGTGAAGCTTTTCTGCCTCTCGGAATGATCAATGATTGAGGGCAGCTGCAGGGTCTGAGGTTGAAATTGCTCTCTTGTGCTTTTTGGCTGGCTGCCTGGAGAGAGTTCGACATCATCAACTTCTGACTAAGGCAGGAACGGGGTCTGAGCGGGTATTCCGGAATCTTACAATACTGGTATCATGGATACCAGACAATTAACCATCTGATTGTCCTATTAATGGCAGGTCTTACGAGTATTATCATCGTCACCTTGATCGATGTATTCAGTACTCAGCACAACATATTCCACTAGCTTCTTCGAAAGGACCAACGGCAATAAATTTGATGGAGAGGTTGTGTTGCCCAGTTGCCCAGAACATTTCGGCAGATCTTCTGCTGTATGTATGTACTAGCCATGTAAGTTAACTATGTGATTAGTCTAGAAACTCCCCCTCTCCCCGGATAGCCGTCGGTCTCTTCAGCAATCAGACCAGCAAGGTGACCAGAAGAGCAAAAAAAAGGGGCCGAGGGGGCAAATAATTGACAGCCTGATACGACAGCCTGACAGCCAAAGACCAATTCAGGTGGACATCACCAAGCAATGTTTGCCAAGATAAAGAGCAAACAGGTTGATCTAGCTGGCCTAGAGGGACGGTGATTGAGGAAACCATACTATTAAGGGGGAGGTGGCCACTGTTCCTAGGAGGTACATAGTAGGTACCTGCTGTACCTTAGGGGCTATTTAGTGGTTCCAAGTACCTACGGGTACACTACTGGCGGGATTAATCACTCCCCATCTCAATTCCAATCAATCCCGTCAGTCTTCCCCCCAATCCCTCTTCTCTCCTCTCCTCTTCTCTTTATCATTCCATTACCTCCTCCCCTCTCTCGACCCCTCTTTCCATCCACCCTTTCATACTCCCGCGAACAAGCTTTCGCGTGGTCGACCTTCTCTTTCTTTCATTCCTTATGCCTCCTTATTGTTTCCGTCTTTCTTGTTGTTGTTGTTGATCATATGGTGAGGGCAGATGCGATGTAATCACCCGTGGAACCGCAAGCTTGTTGTCCTGTCTCCTCTCTATCCTGCTAACCTCTTTCTGGCTCATAGTCACTCATATAACCAACAAAGAAAATCGTCTGGGATTAAACTCAATAATGTATACTGTTCTGTGAAACGCGCAGCTTTCCTTCCAGCTTTCCCATGCCCTCCGTTCAACTGCCCGAGCCTCGCAATCAACGGTTACCCCACATCTCTCCTTCCCACCGTGTTTCCATTGCTTTCCAGCTGCACTAGCTAGCCACAACACCTTCTTTCACCATGATTTCAGAAGAACTTTTGGAGGAGTGCTGGCAGATCCTCCAGGATGAAGCTCTGGACGAGGAAGATCAGGCCGAGAAAGTCGAAGACTTTATCCGCGAAAAGACCTCGTTATCTGGCTCAGCTCTCGAAAATGCCGTGCTGGACGTTCTTTGGCGCCATCGAAATCGTACTCTGCCCAACGCCTCTCCACCACCTCCTCGTCATACAGTCATCCGTCGCTCGTCCCCCGCTCCCTGGCAGATGGCCCGCTCAGCCACACCATTGTCGCCTCATTCCAACCTAGGCACCAGTCCTGGAAGCACTTCCTGGCTTCAGAGCTCACGAGGGGGGTATCCGCGACCCCCGCTTTCCTCAACAGTGTCACCCTTCACCTCTCCGCGCCCGTCACCTCGGCTCGCTTTGGCTCAACCTATACCCCATTCTCCGAACTTGAATGCATACGAGTTTTCCGACCAGAGTCATGTGTCAGACTTCTACGGAGATTTTGGCAGCGATAGCAATGTGGATTGGTTGGTCGCAGATGATGCCAATAGTGTCGCATCATCCTTAGGGACGCCGAGTCTCACAGCAGCATTGAGTGCGACAGCTCCGGAATTCGTTCCCGACATGAGTCCGCATGACATTCTGCGCACTGTTCTCGGAGATAAACGGACAAATGATGAGATTGAAGCAGCACTGGAAGCGAATAGTTACGATCTTGGCGCCACAATCGCATCACTTTCACAATTCACAGACGGAGAAGCTCTGTTGAATCATGCGGATGATAGCCATGTTGTGGTGGGAAAATCGATGTCCATGGAGCAGCCTAAAGCTACCAGTCCGTCGCTGCAGAGTCGCAGTCCGGTGGTCTGCAAATACTGGCTGTCCACCGGACAATGTCTTCGTGCGGACTGTCGATTTAGCCACGACCTCACCAACCACCTTTGCAAGTATGTTGAAACCATTGCAGCTGCGATCCCAAAACCTCCTCAGACTGACGAAACACAGGTACTGGGTGATGGGCAATTGCCTTGCCGGTGACGGTTGCCCGTTTTCTCATGATCCGTCAGCCCTGGTCTCAAACATGAGCTTGGCAGACGGAAGTCAGACAATCCCGACTGGCCCGCAGTTCTACATAGAGAATGTCTCGGACGCTTTCCCTCCTCTCCAGTCTGGGGGCGGAGACCAGTGGGGTGGTAAATACGTTGGAAAGTATCCCGGCCACCTATCGGGCTTGTCTGGTGGGAAGCATTCGCCGCAGGCTATGCAGTATGTCATGGGGAAACGAAATGGCAGCATGACGAATCTTTCTCGCCCCCACTCTCGACCAGGGAGCCGACATCAGCATAGGGAATTGAATCCGGCTGCTCTGTCGGTGGATGATCCGGATGCGTTTCCTACCCTGGCTGCTATGAGCGCGAGGAACAGTGGAAAGAAGCATAATGGGAAACGAGGCGCGCACAATCGCGAGAACAATCCAAGCAAGGAGAATCTTCCCGCTTCCTTAGCAGATGTTGTTCGCATGTCCCCATCCCCAGTCCCAGGAAAAGGGAAATCCACGTCCAAGAATGGCAAAGACGCAGCCAGAGGCCGAGAGTTCAGCGCTGCTGCCCAGTCTATTCCAGCGCCACAGAATATCCCTTGGCTCGAGACAGGGGCACGTGCCAACGAACAGTATATCAAGTATCGGACAAAGGCAATAGGTCATGGTACGGTGAGGAACAAGTTCCTTCAAGGGTAAGTCTACCGCAATTGTGAAGTTGGCTTATGAAAGCTAATCCATCCTTGAAGTGCCGCCCAAGCCTGGAACCGGAATGATGCCAGGGCAGCCAAGGCACTGTCTCTGCGGGGCCAAGCCGAGAACGAAGCAATGAGGAAGTGCCATCGCGAAGCAGCCCGGGAATTATATGAGGAACGGAACAAACATCTATCTCATGCTGGCCTAGAGGATTCATCAGAGGAGTTATATGTCGATCTGCATGGGCTGCATCCGGAGGAGGCTATTGAATACCTAGAGAAGATTTTGCTGAAGCATGCTCGTGAAGGTCGGAGAGTGGTCTATGCCATCACTGGCACCGGCCATCATTCCAAGAACGGCAAGGACAAGATCGGCAAGGCCGTCAAGGCCTGGCTGAACGAATGGAAGTATCTCTTCCGCGAGTTCAGCGTCCCAGGCGAAAGAGGTGGGTATGTTGGGGGAATCTTGGGCATTGACCCCACGAGTTATGACAAGAGTCTGGCCAGGAGCCTTGAAGAGAGTGCCGAGGCAAAATCTGACGGCGATACTAGCCCGCCTGTGCTGACGATGGGCAAGATTCAGTTGTTGAAACGCGAAGACTTGGAATCGAAGTCATAATCCATGCATCTTCTGCAAGTTCAATGTCTCCTTTCTTGAGATGGCACACGCAACCTTCTCATCATATCCCACTCCTCTCTATCGATTCTTACTCTACTTTTCTTGCTCATAGCTCAGATAATATCTCGGGAGTTTGCTGTGCCACCACACGCTTCGACAGCCACTATCAGCAAGCAGGATCGAGTCCGAACGGTGCCCTGCCCGAGGACGGATGTCGCAAGCAAGTTGCGCAAGTCACGGGCACGAGCTAAATTTTGACCGACCCTTTCTTACTTTCCCTCGTGTAGAGCGTTCAGCTAGCTAGCTATTATAGCGTGCCCTTGTTCTATTATTCTCACCATGCAGACCATTCCGACCTTACGCCGGCCGAATTAGGTTATGCTAAATACGGAAGAACACTATAACATGTATATACCTTTCTTTCAGCATGCATATTGCATCTCAGTAATCGAGAAATGATGCCAGTCGATGTCGCACTGATTCTCTCGTACCAAAGCCGAACTATTTACTCCGGCTCCTGACCCTTCCACTTCTCCCTCAACTCCCGCACATTGAACCCGCACGCCTCCGCCTTCTTGACCACAGCCCTCGCCTTCTCCGCCACAGGCACATCGATCATCTTCCCATCCAGCGTCCAGGCCCCACGCCCGGCCTGCGCCGCTTTGTCATCGGCGATGCACACCCGCACCGCCCACTGGACTTCCTCAGGATCCGGCCCGAAGATCCGCTGCGCGGTCTCCACCTGCGACGGATGGATACACTGCTTCCCATTGAACCCCAACCGGCGACCGTCGCGACACTCCTCCTCCAAGACCGCGGGGGGCGACCCGTCGCCCTTGCTCGATCGGTAGGCGGTGCACACCAGATCGATCGTCGAGGGGAGTTCCGCCGCGCGGGCCGCGGTGGCGATCATCGACCGCGCGAACAGGAACTCGGTGAGCGAGGGGGTGCGCGTGAGACTGAGGTCCAAGGCGAAGTCCTCGGCGGCGAAGATCAAGCCTTGGAGGAGCGGGGTGGAGGCGCAGATCTGCGTGAGGTTGGTGAGGGATTTGGCGGATTCGATGAGGGCGAGGAGGGAGATGGGCGGACGATCTGGGTTGTGTTGTTGCTGGGAGAGGGTGTGGGTGATCACGTCGGTGACGAAAGTTAGGTCCGAGGGGGAATTGACTTTGGGAATTACGACTGTGGTGAGGTTGGGGGATTGGAGCTGTTGGATGTGTGATTCAAGGGTTAGCTTAGTTAGGTGGCGCGTGGCGCTGTGATGGATTTATGGGGGTGGTGAGGAGGAGTGAGGACTGACGACTTCGGTGAGATCGCTCAGGGCGAGACCACTGTCCACGGAGTTGATGCGGACGGCGCGCTCGCGAATCCCCTCTGGTGCCGGCTGGTCGAGCGCCCTCCGCACCAGGGAGCGGGCTTCCGCTTTCTTGTGCGGAGTCACGCTGTCTTCGAGGTCGTAGGCCACGCAGTCGGCGGTTAGGGTGCGGGATTTGTCGATGAAGCGTTGCGAGGAGCCGGGAACTAGATTATATCATCTTAGTTTCTTGTCTATTAAGCGTTGTGTGTGGGTGGTGCTGGTGTAGGTGGTTTGGGAGGTGGACAACGCTCCCGTAGGAAAATGCGGGGAGAGCTCCTGTGGGTTCGCGATAAGTATACGGGGCGATAGAGACATACTGTAGAGAAGAGCTCGACGGAGCGTGTTACGGGCTGCCATTGTGACGGAAATTGAGGCTTGCTTGTATCTTCTGAGTATCCTGGCGCGTGGATCGAGCGGCTGAGATCTATCCGGTGCAAGCGGAGAGTGCGAAAGATATAGAGTGTGGAGGAAAGAGGAGAATCTGGACCGATGGACATCCTCGCCCGGGTTGCTGGCCGCGGCGCATAAAGGCTTCTCCCGCCGTCAGGAACTCTCTATCGGTCCAATGACCTCATCCACGAGGGTGGATCGCTTATGCATGGTCTGCCGTGGAGAGATGCTCTTCTCCCTCCTTACCTCTTGGCTGCATATTTATGAGTGATCTTAGGGAATCCAGTGAAGTAATGAGTGAGCTTCGTTCTGCCATCGTAATGTGCTGAGAGTCTAGCAAGAGGAATTCCGTCCGTTAAGGAAAGGAACGCAACCATTCATGTGGCCGGCGGTGGCTCCGCATTCTGCCAGTATCCACCGCCGGGGCCATGGAGACACGCAGCATCAACGCATTGAGCACATTCCTGCTTCTCGTTGCGTGTCAAACAGCTTGACTGTTGTCCCACCCTCCTTATCCTTTCGTTTGAAAACCTCTGAAGAGCTGCTGGACTCTGGAGTCTGCACCTCAACCAACATGGAACAACAACCCCTCCAACCGCAACAGGGAGATTTGAACTGGCGCCTCAGCGCCCACCCGATCACCCTACTGTTCTTCCTGGGCTTCCGCATTAGTGCCCTGTTGATGTACCTTTTCGGTGTTCTGTTCATCAAGAACTTGTACGTACTGGAGAACTCTGGCTCTGATTTATTATTATACAATTCTAGACGATCCCACGGGCATCGGAGATATTGCCTTATGGGCCACGCGAACAATTGTCCGAGCTTATCTGACTGATCTCGATCGAATAGTGTCCTGGTTTTCATCCTAACGCTGCTGCTCCTCTCCGCGGACTTCTACTACCTCAAGAACATTGCTGGGCGTCGACTAGTCGGACTGCGCTGGTGGAACGAAGTCAACACATCGAGCGGCGATTCACACTGGGTCTTCGAGTCCTCGGATCCTACCACCCGTACAATTGCCGCCACGGACAAGCGGTTCTTCTGGCTTAGTCTGTATCTCACGCCTACGCTCTGGGTTGGCTTGGCTATTTTGGCCATCATCAAATTGAGCAGTGTGATCTGGTTGAGTTTGGTTGGTACGTGTTGCGGCCCCTTGTTCCCAGCTTCTAAGGTCTGGCGACTAACTTGTTACAGCTATCGCTCTAGTACTGACCATCACGAACACGCTCGCTTTCTCCCGGTGCGATCGCTTCAGCGTCGCCAACAGCGCGCTTTCCGGGGGCATCATGAGTAACCTTGCGGGAGGACTGCTGGGCAGACTCTTCAAGTAAAATCGGCGTGTTTCGTACTGTGTATGATCTTCGTCTGTCTGTTTGTGCTCTTTTATCACCGGCCTGAATCTATGTGCAATTCAGGATTCGCCGACCAACATGTAGCGAGCTTCAGTCATCAATCCAGAATATCTTCAAACCAGTGGATGTAGGTTTTTATTCGCACTGTACACATCGCTCAGCGGCCCAAACGCCTAGAGATGTGGTGAAATATCGTTCACCCCGACAAGTAATATTTTGCGTGACATTCTTATGACTAGCATTTCTTAATTTTATCTAGCCTGATGTTTGCAATTGTGGCCAGTGCGTGTCACTGCCAAAGGATATCGCAGGCTATTCTTGGTACTCAAGGCTCGCTCTGTACCTACAGCAGAAGGCCTGCCGAAAAGGGCGTGGCATCTTTTCGAGACTGACTTGAACCGCTAGAAAGGGCATCACAAACCGACTTCAAGGTTGCCTGGAGCTTTGAGTTGCTTACAAAATAAACAAACTACCCTGGGTTTCTTCCAACAAGTATTGCTCTCTATGTAATTAGGATGACATCTGCCGGGGTTTCAGTCTGTATATGGCTTGCTAGATTCAGGAACCCATGCTCGCCAGCGCAACGCTGCAATTACTGGAAGGCTGTTGCTGATATTCACTTGAGGAATCTGTAAAACACTAGCCAGCATACACCCTTTCTCTTATCGATCACCGCGAAGAAGTAATGAGGTGAACAGTGCCACCACAAGTCAAACTATTCCTCTCAGTTGTAGTCGATTTAGGAAGTAAGTATGAAGAGCTCAAGCTGATCCTCTATACCGAGTGGAAAGTCCGCTGGGATCACTTCAAGGAACCCCGCTTTCGAGTGAAATCTGAGCTCGGCTGTTTATGTTGTGGGGACAAGATGTCTTCGAAGTGACCTAAAGATAAGATGCGATTGATTAAATCTACCGTGCCATATTGTCGGTACAAGCACGTGGCTGCGGGCACGTGGTCCTTGAGTCTAGTCACTATCAAAGCCCTCATTGATGAAAGCTATATGTAAGCACAACAAGAATCTTTCTTTACTTGTGCAGTACCTTGAGTAACAGCCATTTTCATTTTGATATCAAAAGTAACTTTGGAATCTCTTAGATGAACCCATAATCAGAAAGTGATGTGGCAATGCTTCGTATTCCTTTAACAGGTTTAAGATCGTCAAACAAACAGAAGAATATCCTTAAGATGGATTCACATTAAAGGTCACTTGCATGACTATTGGATGATCCTTACCTACCTGTTTTTCTTATCACTATTACTATCAAGTATCTACCTTTCTTCCTTATGCTGGGGAACAGGCGCTGTCTACTTTCTGATATCAGCCAGCCAGCCAGCCAGTTAGTTCTCTGTCTTGTTGTGTTTTCCCTTTGTTGCCTACACCCTCTGCAAACTCTCTACCTTCATTGTACAGACGTGGGGCATTTTGCACTATGATGATTTCTGATGAAGATATCTACACCTACAATTACACCTGACCGTTAAACATACGCGAAATTCCTCAAGACTTGACCTGCTTCTCTTCTTTGGTTTGAACCACTAGGAACTCTCACTCGTTGCTCTGGAATCCAGACAGACATTCTGCACTTCTTTAAGTTGTTTCAATTGTTGGGCTGCTAGTTCCATAAGCTGGCACTGAAGCTGTCACTCACACTAAGTGCACCATTGAATTGTCAGATACTGGATGCTACAAGCTGGCGCAACACCCTTTCGTGTGATTCTTCTCTTGCCCCATCCTCATCTCTGTCTCCTTCCATCTGGTTCACGTCTGTCTTTGCACAGCAGTCTCCTTATCTCTCGACAACTGCTACATAGCTGAGCGGACTTATGCCTTTTTGATCCACTCTTCCCACCGAGTTACAAGCTGTTTCAATTCAGCTATTTTACTCCACACAGCCCCTTTTTACCCTTCTAACACGTCAGCCTCCCCAATGCAATCACCAGAGCCTCGCAAGAAACCACAGGCCCGTCCCTGGAGCGACTCCGAAAAGCTACGCCTGGTGGAGCTGCGAACGGTAGAGAAAGACGTACCGTGGGCAGTTTTTCAGAAGGTACCATCGCTCATCCTCGAATTTACAATCTAGTCACTGACGCGTTCTCTGACATTGTTAGAAATACTTTCCGGATCGAAGCCTTGCTGCAATTCAAGGGGCTTATTCTGTAAGTATACTACATGTTTATTTATATGCCTTCAGGTTCTCATTCTAACTTTGAAAGAACTATTGTCGAGGCGAAAAGGAATCCAAAAAGATGGTATTTATCAACACTCAGACATCGGATTTTCCTTACTAACATGATCTCGCTGTCTCTAGCCTGCTGAAGGTAATCAAGGCCCGACTCCCAGCAAGGGTAGAAAGCGTTCCGTTGCTAGCTCAGGAACACCCGAGAGCTTTGCTGAACCCAAAAAGACGAAGACAATCTGTGGCTTTGAGTAAGGAATCATCTTCTGAAGGGTCCATCGCAACAATACTGACAGCACAGCAGTGATGACTCAGAAGACGAACCCTCCAACCAGCTGTTTGTGGAAGAGAACACATTCGTGAAGGTAGGCATGGGGATTCGGCTATCTAGTCCCACTTTGGATGCTAATATTCTTTCGAATTATCATTAGGCCCAAGCTGCTGAAAGATGTGATACTCGAAAGGCGCCAAAAGCTGTCACTGTCGATGTGGCAAAGATTGATAAACCCTCTTGCAACATCACCGAGCTACCAGAAGGAATGCAGTTTTTTGAGAAGATTATCAATGAGTACAAGTCATTGCAGCAAACCCTGGTACAGATGGAGAGCAAGCTGAAGGAGAGCGAGGATGAGCTGAAAAGTCTGAAAATGAGCACCATGACTGATAAATGCCAGTTTGAGGTGGCCAAAGCCGACTTGCAAGAAGAGATGGATCTCCTCAAGGCCGAACTCCTCCAGGTAAAGTCCGAGAAGGTCGAGATGAAGCCGGCTACGAGCAATGAAGGTTGCCAGCGTTGTACCGAGCTCGAAGAACAGCTCGACCACCTCTTTACGACCTTTCGCCCTGCTCCGAAGTAGGCTTTTAAGCACACCGTGGCTCATTGAGGAAGATTCTGAGCACTTTGGTTTTGTTTCCTTTTTTTCCTTCTCGTTCATGATCTCATTGGTATCGTTGGGATTTCCTCGAAATCTCTGACTTCGCCGACCTTAATCTACCTTTTGTGTTTTTCATTTTGCTTTTGTTTCTTCAAAGTGCCTGGATGCAGGTATGATCTATTCTTTAGTCTCATCACCTTCTTTCTCTTGTGATATTCGGAGTCGTGAAATGTGGATTAAGAACGAAGTTAGTGGAAGAATGTTAATTACGAAAGATCATAAGATCAGCCTCAGGAGCTCCTATGTAATAATTTTAGGATTGAGATAACAAGTAGTTGAACGGGCAGTCAGATGAGACCATAAGGTGAATGAATGTGGATGGCGACAGCAGGGAATATTTGGCTCGTTTGTCTGTGTTCCCAGTGTTTCTGGTTACCTGCTACTTCACTTCTCCTCACTCTCCTCCTCTCACTCTTTCTTTCATCTAACACCTTTCTCCCCTGCAACCTCCTGCCCCTCCTCTCTTGTCACTCTACTTCTTCTTACTATACCTGATCGAGGCTTTTATTACTCCGGTTCCCACTTTCAAATCCTCAACGATTCTCCCTCCAGCACCAAGGTTAGTTCACTTTCTGCACACAAATCTCGAGAGGTTGGGAAGTGTACTTTATTACAAGATACTTTTCTTGCAAATAAGCTACACCAGATCACTTCAGAAGACTCGAGGTCTCATCCCCAGGTTTCCAGTCTCACTTCAGGCAACTGAAGGATCGTTCTACACGTACCCCCCTTCAACAGGCTTAGTCTTTCTTTGAGGATATCCGAGTGACTGATGATATGTGTGCTCCACAGTTCTCTTTTCCCTAGCAACAGCTCGGTTGCATAGAAAAGATGGACAATTGGAATAGCGCGGAGTGGAACGAAGACGGTCGTGACACTGGTTAGTGACCTTACCCATTCCAAGACTTCCCACCCACACACCTCTGGGTCACCGCGTTCTCCAGTCCTTTCAGATATACTGCAGGTCAGTTACAAGATAACAGCTAACGTAATACTAGGTTATGGCAATGACGAAAATGCCAGACCTGGTGATTTCAACTCTGCTCCTTACGCTGGCAATGACTATGACCGCGCGTCTGCTGCCGACGGACAGGACGATAACAGATGTCGCAAGTAAGTGCTCACCTTACTGCTAGAGGAACACTACCGGATGGCTAACTCTGATTCTCACAGCTGTGGGGCCGATGACCACTTCGCCCGCATGTGTCCTGAGCCTAAAAAGTCTATGGGTGCCTGCTTCAACTGCGGCGAGGAAGGGTAAGTCTAGAAAATGGAACACATATTAATTTTCGCTGGTTAACGTGATACAAAATAGACACTCGAAGGCCGACTGCACTAAGCCCCGTGTCTTTAAGGGTACCTGTCGTGTCTGCAACCAGGAAGGACATCCTGCTGCCAAGTGTCCTGAAAGACCTGCTGATGTTTGTAAAAACTGCAAGATGGAAGGTATGGCGAAGCAGAATCCTCTGACGTCAAGCAACACACTGATCTAATATTTCGAGAAAGGTCATCGTGCCCTCGATTGCAAGGAGAATCGCAAGTTCGATTTGAATGATGTCCCTGACATGCCCCCCGAGGACGCCTGGAACCTTCTACAGAAGGCCAGCGATGAGAAAGACCTGGAAGATTTTCGCACCGTAAGACACAACTTTCAACAACATTCTACCTGCTTATCATTCCTGAGCATTCGGCTTGTCATCGCTTCATACTGATCCAGACTAGGGCATCAAGATCTTCTCGAAGGCAGTTCCTGAGGCCACTTTCGTCGATATCGAGAAGAAAATGCGTGAGGAAAACCTCAAGTTCTACATCATCGCGCTGGTTCGTACAGCCCCTGGCCTTGTCTACCCAATTCCATATCAAATCTGTATTGACTGGACGACACAGGAAAGGGAAGCGAACAGTTGTATCAGCTTCATCAATCTCCAAGGCAAGCTAGACTGTACATACGTGGTTGGATACTTCTTCAGCCCCAAGCCACAGCGTGCGCATCTTAGAGAGCGTTGGCCATCTAGCGACGACGAGAATCTTGAGCGCCTCGAGGATGCTGGTTTGCCTTACGATCGTCAGGTCCCCAAGTGCGGCAATTGCGGTGGTAAGTTGACTCACACCATCATGGGACAACCACTAACCTGCTCAAGAAATGGGCCATACTGCCCGTGGCTGCACGCAGGAACGAGCCGAGATTGAGCGTGTCGAAGTGAAATGCGTCAACTGCAGTGCTGTCGGTCATCGCGCTCGCGACTGCACTGAGCCTCGTCGTGACAAGTTTGCCTGTCGTAACTGCGGGTATGTGGTCAGCCCTAGATCTTCAGAATTTGAGGCAACTGACATCTGCAAGTTCTCCTGAGCACAAAGCTGCTGAATGTCCCAATCCTCGCTCAGCGGAGGGTGTGGAGTGCAAGCGTTGCAACGAAGGTAAACCACACGGCTCATCTTTCCATCTAGTCGCAATTCTAACAAGCTTAGTCGGACATTTCGCAAAGGACTGCCCTCAGAAACCTGAGCCCAGGACCTGTCGCAACTGCGGGTGAGCATTACCCTTAATAGCTTCTCCGCTTAAGTGAACTGATATCAATTGCACAGATCCGAGGACCATATTGCGCGCGACTGCGACAAACCCCGTGATGTATCTACCGTCACCTGCCGTAACTGTGATGAGGGTATGTTTATCACGCTATTTCACATAGCACGATAGCTAACACCAGGACTCAGTTGGTCACTTTAGTCGTGACTGTACTAAGAAGCGCGATTACTCACGAGTCCAATGCCGCAACTGTGGAGAGAGTAAGTCTCCCTCCTTCTAAAGCTCTTGATACAGATCAATAATTACCTCACTCTTTTTCCAACCAGTGGGCCACACTATCAGACGTTGCCCGAAGGCCCCAGCCGAAGAGTCGTTTGAGGAACCCACCGACAAAAATGACTCAACCGAGCCCGAAGCTTGGATCTCTGGAGCTGGTGACAATGAAGATGCGCCCGCTTTTGAGGAGGAAAACAATGACGAATGGAATAATGATGGTGGTGGTGGTGGTGGTGGTGGTGGCGCAGCTTGGTAATGTCGAGGCTCTCAGAGCTTTGCAGTAGCTTGCGAAGGGAGAATGACAAGCTGTTCGTCTACGACGATGTTCGATGTTTCATCATGCAGTGATAATACGTTCGGTTTTCCAAGAGAACGGGTGTCTAGATCTGGTTAATGAGCAATTTACTACTCGGTCGACCTCGGGTTTGACACCTGATCTTGAGGACTTCTGATGATATCATCTATCGTTGTATGTGCATGTTTTCTCTCAGAGATAACAGTGTATTTTCAGACAACTCATTCCAAAAAATCAAGAACCAAGAGAAAAGGCAAGGTCAATCTAGACTTCGGGTTTGTGTTCGGAACGGAGGAACCACCTTTTGTCCTCCAATGGATGGACGAGAGGAGGATCTATTTGTTTCGAATGGCCCGTGGTGTTTTTTGACGTTGAAGCATTTCTATGCCCTTTATATCCATCCTCGTCCTCATTTTGAGATAGTTTATCCTTATAGGATAGCCATTGTAGTAGTAAAAATTGGAGAATGGTAAGTCTAATTGTAATCTAGATATATGGGAGACTAATTACATAGTTATAATGTTAACCCGATCTATACAGAACAGATTCTAAATGTCCATGTGGGAAATCGTGGATACAGAAAAAGTAGATAACAGGCTCGTCTATGGCTATAGTGTGCAGTGAAATGCCAAGAAAATGAAACCGAGTTCAATTAGGGAGAGAGAAACAGCAGGCAAAGAAGGAGGAGTGATAGGCCATCCCAACTGGAGTCACTCACTCACTCCTTCTTCCCCTTCTTCAGCGAGGCGAGGCTCCACTTCTTGACGCGGAAGGCATAATACAAGAACACGGCCGCGGCGATATCCACGACGATGTAGACCCAGAAGATGCCGAAGTTGCGCCAGCGCTGGCTGTAGAAGATGTTCACACCCGCCAGATACTGGTCGGCGACGGACATGGAGCAGTACTCGCAGCTGGCGGTGGCGTTCGGGTTCTTCAGGTACCCAACGGCGGTCTGGAGGTAGTCGCTCAGGTAGTCGCCGCAGGTCTGGCCGGCGGGGGGGTTGAAGATGGACAGCTCGGTGCTGCTGCACTGGACGGGGCGGCCGTGCAGCTGGGTGGCGGTGACGCCGCCGACCCAATACGTGAAGGGGGAGACGCGGTACATGAAGATCCAGAAGCCCGGGAGGGCGGAGGGGGACTGCATGACGCCGTTGAAGGTGAGGGCCATGGAGAAGAGAAGGGTGACGATGGCGCCGGCGGTCTCGGCGTCGGGCAGGGCGGCGATGCACAGGATGGCGAAGGTGCTGGCGTAGATGAAGAACTGGATGCAGAAGAGCAAGACCAGCCCCTGGCGCGACGAGGCCTGCACCCCATCGACAGCGTAGTAGTAGCACGCGTACACCAGGATGCCCATGACGATCTGGTAGGGGATCTCGACGATGATGCTGGCGACCATGAACGCCTTCCACGAGTAGGTCTTGCTGGGCCGCTCCCGCACCTCGTACAGCGACCGCTGGATGATGAACATCGGGATGATCTGCTGGACCAGCGACGAGAAGATCGCGCACAGCATGAACACCGAGAAGATCGCGTCCTGCAGCCCCTGCGTCGAGCTGTCCGCGTGGAAGAAGCTGAACCCGATGAACAGGCCCGAGCAGATCCCCAGCATCATCTTGGCGACAATGTACATCGGCGTGCGCCAGTATTGCTGGAACACCCGCCGCATCACGATCGGCAGCTGCTTCGTCAACGGCATGGCAAATTCCGCGTGCTCCCGCGGATCCTCCTCGGAAGCGTGCGGTGGTCCCTGGCTGCTGTTGGCGGCATGGATCCGGTTGAGTTCCTGCTGCACGGCGGCGGCTTCCGGGCTTCGTTTCCACACCTCGAACCAATCCTCCCCGTGTTTGTTGCTGACCGCGTTGACGATCTCGAGCATGTATTCGGCCGGGTTTTCCTCATCGT